ATCCACTTTAAAACAAGCTGCTGTTTCTGGGTTTATAGCAGCAATACCAAACAATAACACAGATCATCACATCATATTGGATATTAAAATGTCAAATTTTCCCTAAAAAGTACACCCTTTATTGGACTTTTATTTCAGAAGGAAATGTAAATCCATAGTTTATTAACAAGAAACCCCGATACATAGCTGTATCCACTAGTTCAACAGCAGTGCTGTTTATCGTGGCTGGTACTAACTGGGGGAAGACTTCTTACAGTCAGATTCCAGAGAGTTGTTTTCCTAAAATGATTTATTACACCAGGATAAAAACAAATTCACAAAAGGTCTGCTAAGATGCTCCACTAATCAATAGATTAGTGGAGCACCTCAGGTTGACTGTTTCCTTGGTAAATTAATGGATATGTTAATTTGCATGCTTGCTGTGGCATGACTCATTAATAAATTGGATATAAACAAGAAATCTTTGAAGCAAATCATTTAAGAGTCGAACATCTGTTCCAACACAGTTAACAATGATTCAAAGTGTTTGTATCAGCAAAGCAATGCGGTGTGAAGAACGTAGCAGAACATTGACTTCAGCACCATCAAAGTAAGGGCAGAAAGTTTTATAGGATAGACCTTCAGGTAACTGACAGAAAAACAAGATATTTTGATAAGCTCCATTTAAAATGGAGCGCCAAGACTAAAGATAAACTAAAAGAAATTAACTGACACTGATGGGCAGAAGCCAACTCCTGGTCACAAGAACATGAACCCTCCTGGAGAACGTTCTACAGCCAAAATACCATCTCCTCCAGCAATGCCTTCTGTTGCGTCATCAGTCAGCCCCACAGTGAAATAAAGACCTGTTACCTCCATATTCCCAGGTGTAAACAACCTCTGTGGGCGTACTGTACCTTAAGGTTCTAGCTCATGCTTTAGGGTCCACCTCAGTCCCAGCTTCTTTGTGTGGACTCCAGGTTTTGTTGGTTCTGACCCAGGCTTTAATCTTGACACCTGGACCAGTTTGTACCAGTTTAGACCATTTTAACATGTTTTGACAAATATATTAGTTCAGCCAGTTGAGAGATTAATTTGAGAAAAAATAAAGTTGTAGAAATATTATGAAAAAATGCTCTGTGGTTATTGGTCAGTGTTCAATTAGTCGGTGCTTGATGGTCAATGTTGGATTAGTCAGTACTGGATTGGTCAGTGCTTGACTGGTCAGTGTTTTTACCAACAATCTTCCAGTCTGACTTACTGATTACTCCCAAAACAATTAATACCTACAACTCTTTTGAACATTTAACCCTTAATTTCCCTGATCCAAATTTCAAGGCAAGAAAACCTCTTCTTTTTGTAACTTTGTATCGTCCACCAGGTCCTTACTCTGAATTTTTAGATGAGTTTTCAGAGTTCCTTTCTGATTTGGTATTAAATACTGACAGGGTCATCATAGTGGGAGATTTTAACATCCATGCTGACATTGAAGGCGATAGCTTAAGAGCAGCCTTTAATGCTATCTTAGACACTATTGGCTTTGTTCAAAATGTGAATAGTCCCACGCATTCTCATCTTCATACTTTGGATCTTGTGCTGACATACGGCATAGAATGTGAAGAAATAACAGGATTTCCTCACAACCCTGTCCTCTCTGACCACTTTCTAATAACCTTCAGGATTACTTTAACAGAGTTCTCCTCCCCCAAAAGAAGGTTACATTTTAGTAGATCTTTATCAGATAGTGCAGTTATAAATTTTAAAGAATCTGCTTCACTTTCTCTCTCCTCTGTGTCACTGAGCAGTGCTGCAGAGTGCAAAAGCTTAGCTTATTCCCCTTCACAGGTTGATGATTTTGTTGATGGGGTTGCTAGTTCTCTGCGTATTGCCTTAGACAACGCAGCTCCTTTGAAAATGAAAACCGTTAAAAATAGAAAGCTTGCTCCTTGGTTTAATGCAGAGCTGCGTACTTTGAAGCAAAATGCTAGGAAACTGGAGAGAAAATATCGCTCCACAGGCCTGCGAGAGTCCTTCCTAGTCTGGAAAAATGGTTTACTGCTGTATAAGAGGACTCTTTGTAAAGCAAGAGCAGCATACTTCTCCTCATTAATAGAGGAGAATAAGAATAATCCTAGATTTCTTTTTAATACAGTTGCCAAACTCACCCAGAGCCATAGCTCTGTTGAACCGTCCATTCCACCTGCTCTTAGCAGCAATGATTTTATGGGATTCTTTATAAATAAGATTGATCTTATTAAAAATAAGATCATAAGCACTCCTCTATCCGCGATTGTACCTGAGGTAGTCATGGAATCTGAACCGGGTTTAGACTGCTTTGATCCAGTTGAACTCTCTGAATTAGCAAAATTATTGTCTTCATCTAAGCCTTCAACTTGTATGTTAGATCCAGTTCCAACCAGGTTATTTAAGGAGGTATTCCCTTTGATCTCCTCCTCCATTTTAGATGTGATTAATCTATCTCTGTTACAGGGATATGTACCTAAAGCTTTTAAGGTTGCTGTAATTAAACCTCTGCTTAAGAAACCGTCTCTTGACCCAGATGACTTGGTCAATTATAGACCTATATCCAATCTTCCTTTCTTATCCAAAATTCTTGAGAAAGTAGTTGCCAAACAAGTTTGCGATCACTTCCACCATAATGAACTTTTTGAAGAGTTTCAGTCTGGCTTTAGAGCTCATCATAGCACTGAAACAGCTCTGGTGAAAGTCACTAATGATATTCTCATGGCCTCAGATAATGGACTTGTATCTGTGCTCGTCCTGTTGGATCTTAGTGCTGCATTTGATACAGTTGACCATAATATTCTTTTAGAAAGACTTGAATATTTTGTTGGAATTAAAGGAACAGCACTAGACTGGTTTAAATCTTATCTATCTGATCGAATTCAGTTTGTTCATGTTAATGATAGATCTTCAACACGCTCAAAGGTTACCTGTGGAGTACCACAGGGATCAGTGCTAGGACCAATTCTCTTTACTTTATACATGCTCCCAATTGGTAGAATTATTAGACAGCATGGGATTAATTTCCACTGTTATGCTGATGATACCCAGCTATATCTGTCTATAAATCCAGATGAAGCTAACCCATTACATAGATTACAGGCATGTCTTGAAGACATAAAAACCTGGATGACTCTTAATTTTCTGCTTCTGAATGCAGACAAAACAGAAGTTATAGTCTTTGGACCAGAGTCTCTGAAAAAGAAACTGATTAGCCAGTCACTTCATTTGGATGGGATTAAACTGATTTCAGATAATAAAGTAAAAAATCTTGGTGTTATTTTTGATCAGGACCTGTCATTTAAATCCCATATCAAAGAGGTTTCTAGAATTTCCTTCTTTCATCTGAGGAACATTACAAAAATTAGAAATATCCTGTCCAGGGGTGATGCTGAGAAACTAGTCCATGCATTTGTTACTTCAAGGCTGGACTATTGTAATTCTTTACTATCAGGAAGTCCACAAACTGTAGTTAAAAGCCTTCAGCTGATCCAAAATGCTGCAGCCAGAGTTCTAATGAAAATTAAAAAGAGAGATCATATCTCGCCTATCCTGGCTTCTCTTCATTGGCTTCCTGTTAAATCAAGAATAGAATTTAAAATCCTCCTTCTCACATATAAAGCCTTAAATGGCCAAGCTCCATCTTATATCAGAGATCTGATTGTTCCTTATGTTCCTAACAGAGCACTTCGCTCTCAATCTGCAGGTTTACTAGTGGTTCCTAGAATTTCTAAAAGTAGAATGGGAGGCAGATCTTTTAGTTATCAGGCTCCTCTCCTGTGGAACCAACTACCAGTTTTAGTCCGTGAGGCAGACACCCTGTCTACTTTTAAGGCTAGGCTTAAAACTTTCCTTTTTTTATAGTTAGGGTGGCTCAGGTTATCCTGAGCTATCTCTATAGTTATGCTGCTATAGGCTTAGACTTTTGGAGGACATAGGGACCCCCATTTCATCATTCTGCTTCATTCTCTCTCTGTTCTCCTATTCTGCAGAATCTGTTAGTTCAATCTCTAACCTTCTGCTCTCTCTGCTTTTCCTCAGAGTAGCTTTGCCTCGTCTGTTCCTGTTTGGCTGTGACGTCATCCTGGAAAAAAACATCAGCTGTGCTGCTTCTATCAACACCCTTGTTAATAGATGTTGGAGATCGGCCTGTTTTCCAGTGTGGTCCTGTTTCTCTGACCGTGACTGAGTGGATGTGCTCTCTTCGTCCTCTGGCATGGGAGCTGCCTTGGAGCTCGTCTGCCTGGCTGCGTGTTTCCTGGACGGGGCCGCCTTTTACAGCTGCTTTTTGTATCTCTGCTTCTGTCTCCTTGAACCCCAGTCGGCCTCGGCAGATGGCCGCTCACACTGAGCCTGGTTCTGCTGGAGGTTTCTTCCTGTTAAAAGGGAGTTTTTCCTCTCCACTGTCGCTACAAGCATGCTTAGTGTGGGGGATTGTATTTGAGTCAATGAGTCAATGCAATCAACTGGTTTTCCTTAGATAGAAAACTTTGTATCAATTTGACTGTATGATCTGGTTGAACTGTAAAGTGCCTTGAGATGACATGTGTTGTGAATTTGGCGCTATATAAATAAACTGAATTGAATTGAATTGAATTGTTTGATTAGTCAGTACTGGATTGGTCAGTTCTTGACTGGTCAGTGTTTTCGATTAGTCAGTACTGGATTGGTCAGTGTTTTTGATTAGTCAGTGCTAAATTAGCCAGTGCTTGACTGGTCAGTGTTTTCGATTAGTCAGTGCTAAATTAGCCAGTGCTTGACTGGTCAGTGTTTTCGATTAGTCAGTACTGGATTGGTCAGTGTTTTTGATTAGTCAGTGCTAAATTAGCCAGTGCTTGACTGGTCAGTGTTTTCGATTAGTCAGTACTGGATTAATCAGTGCCTAATTGGTCAGTGTGAGCTATGGTCAGTGTGTAATTTCTCAGCATTGTTATTAGTTATTGCGTGATTGGCCAGTTTGGTGACTGGTTAGTGTGATGGTGCTTGATAAATCTCACCAGGACGATGATCTCGGTGCACTGACTGTAGTTTCCCCGGGGGGCCCAGGTTCCATTAGACTGGCACTCTCTGTAGACCCGGTCTAAGCAAAAATAGAAAGCAACCTGTTTTATTCCTCTCTGTCAGAAGTTATTGTGCTTCAAGTTCTTATTAGGTGACAGTAATAAGTGACGTAACTTTTCCTTCTGTACATTTGATATATTCATTTCTTTAGGTTTCCTGTGTTTTTTTAATTAATAGCTTATTGGTTTATCTTCTAAGTTCTAGATTCTGTTCAGTTGTTGTCTGTGTCATATTTTTGTGAAATATCTAGTTCTCCTTTCTGTTTTATTTGTTGACATCCTTGGTTTTAAGTGTGGAGTTCCATTCCGGGTTATGATCCGAGTTGTGGTTCTCCACTGTGTTCCGTATTTGTGAAGTTTTTGTTCTCCCTGTTCTCACACATCAGTTCCTCACACTAACAGAAACACAGTTTGGTGTTAAACTCCCACACTCCGCACTGACGAATCAACACAGCCGTCTGTGTGCAGCTTCTGTAACCACAGCAACACCTAAACTGTTCCTGACTGGTACCACCCCGGTCCAACCCAGTAGGCAGAGAGGAGGCTGTTCCAAACAGCGATCAGCTGCCTGAATTAACGACCTGCAGAATGAATGAGAACTGAACCAGCAGCCAGAATTTGACCTGACGGTTGCAAAGAGTTTGAGAGTAGAAGAAGATAAGGATGAAGGTAATGATGATGATGATGAAGATGGAGGGATAGAAGAACTCCAGCTGGGTTTTGTGCACACACACACGTGCATGCACAAACACAAAGATGAGTCATTCTCCAAAGCCAGATCAAGAAATAAACCTCTAATTAGACGGGATATTCATGGCCACCCACTCATTAACGCACAGTCATGTTAACTAACACACACACATGGTGTAGCTCCCTGCTGTGCTGATCTGTAAGCAGCCGCCTGGCAGGAAACAAGGATGGGATCCTCCTTGATTGAAGATGTTGGTCAGTGAAACAGCAGAGCAGCATGAAGACTTTCCCCTTACTGGGTTTCAGTCAGGATGAAGAGTTTCTGAGGAACCTCCTGCAGTTGGGCTCAGGTTCTGTTCAAAAGCAGCTGCCCGCTCCTCTGCAGATTAGAGCTCCTCTTCACTCCTAGCAGCAGAAATGTCAGTCGGCCTCTAAAGATGAACTCTTCTATGTTAAACCTGTTAGAAGTTTGAGTTGATTTCTAACTACAGGTAGGAGGAACATGGCCCAGGTCCCGGTCTGTAAATACTTGGGGTTATTTTTGTTTTAAATCATAATGTGCAACTAGCTGACTGGGTAGAGTCAATAAGTGCCTTGCCTCTGCCTTGCTGAAGCCCCTGCAGACTGAGCAGGAGCATTTAGGGAAAAGCAGATACACTCATTGTCCTCTCCTTTCTGTTTCTGAGGGAAAAGACAGGTAGAGCAGCTGACAGTAGTGAGTGGAAGACGAGAGGACAAAAAGAAGAGAGAAATGGCTGCAAATCACTGTAAAGATAAAAGTCAGACCTGCAGGTAAGATAATAGTGGGATATTTTTCTCCGGTTGACCACTAAAAGGTATAGTAAAGGATTTTCATGCATTTTTGAAAAAAAAACCTATTAAGCCTAGCGCCATTCTCCCCGCTTTACAAGCAAAATCAATGGGAACTACTAGACACATCTGCAATCAACAACAATTATTGAAGATTTCCAGAGGACTTCGCCATTGAAATTCACCAGAGCTATAGTGAAACTGACAATGCCCACGTGCATGGCAGTTGGATGCTGGAATACATCCGGTAAAAGTAAAAAAAAAGTTCCTTATCCTGATTCCTGATCCTCCATGGACGGGTTCGTCGTTGGATCGCCAACTTGAAGAGGGAGGGTTTGCCATCGAACTTCTGGCCAGAGAAAAAGCACGTCATTAATCCATTACTTTCTGCTTTGCATAGTGCACTGGTCGTCACCATCATGGATAATAGCGCATTGTGACAAACACCAGATACAGCACTCAGACTTGATCAACAGACGATACCGCACCGTGACGTCACAAACCGGTAGGTGGCAGTAGTGTTCTTTGATAAACATGGATGCCTCCAGTAAAGCTGTTGGGATCCAGAGACTTGCCCTCCAGAGGGCGCCGAGGATCCCTTCCTGTTTTTATGTTTTTTCTGTTGGGATCTGGGGTACTGTTGGGATCTGGAGATCTGCCACCTGTCTCCAGCAGAGAGCGCTATGGGTCTCCTGAGCTGGAGCCTCCTGCACACCTGAGGATCATCAGCCCATCAGGAGACCTCCTACATAAGCAGCAGCCAGACCTGTCTTCAGCGCCGGAGTGTTGACCAGTTTTGGTTAGTGGAACCTGAGCCTCAATCTGAACTAAGAATCTCTGTCTGCTCTAGAGATTAACCTGATCCTAACCAGTCTCTGTCTTCTCTGCTCTTAGGTAACATGATCGAAGTCTGTAGCTCTGGAGGAGCTCATGTCTGGAAACCTACCTACCTGCTCAGAGAAGCCAAACCAGAAGATCCTCAGTCTGAATCTCCAAGTTAGTTCTCAAGGGAGAACTAGGAGAAGAACTCAAGGTCTGAACCTCGCTAGCCTGAAGCTAAGCTCTGCCGCTGTTAAAGCTCTCTGCTGAACCCTCTGTCTCTGGACCCAACTGGTTCCCTCTCTCCACCGCTCAATCTGAACCTCATCAGGTACAAATCTGAATCAAGACTCAGTCAAGACTTCACTCCTACCTGGCTAACCAAACAATCCCTCTCTGCAGATTCTTTGTGAAACCAGTCCCCGACCAGTACCAGAACCAGTGCATTATTTTCTCTGTGTGTGTTTATAGAATAAACAGTTTAACTTTTACTCTGCTTCCTGTGGTGTTCTGCATATGGGTTTAATCACAGAGACCCATCATGACAAAAGCACTTTCAAATAAAAATTACTCTTAATTAAAAACACTTATAATTTATTGAAAAGTATGTAATAATTTCTCACTTAAAGTACTTTCAGGAGTTTGTATTCTGAATGTGACCGAACTTTTCTTTTAAACATGTGCGAGAGCATACACGAGTCCATTTGTCCTCATGCACGCTCTGTTCCAAATTTGCTGTTTGCATCGCTCATACAAGCTTACTTTCAAAAGAAGATTTGCAATTTTTCCACTATGTCAGATTCGCTAAGTGAAAATGAGGACGAGCATGTAGAAAGGCCTTACGTAAACATATCGCCAGAATGATTGACAATTAGGAGGACCCCTTATTTTGATGATCCACCCAGAATAAGAACAATCCTCCACCATACCTTTAATAAGCAGCTGTGTGTTTAGTCTGGTTAAAAGACTTCAAAAAGTTTCCAATTAATCATGTCTTCCAATCTAAGATCCAGCCAAACAGTCTTTTGATTCTGTTCTGATCTTGTTTTACTGCCCTACCAGATTACTTTAATCTGCTTGCATTGTATTTCAATCTCATTACAAAATCAAAAAAATTCTTTGAAGTCATATTTAGGATTGTAAAACTTGGTTAGATGTATACATTAGCGGTCTGGTACTTCTGTAATAATGCATTTTGACTGTGTGTTAAGTTTAGTACTTTTATTTATTTAAAATTATTTGCTGGCCTGACCTTTAAAATGTATTTTGTTTTGTATTGTGTCATTAATACATAGTTTAGAATTTTCATTTTAAATAGTAACTCATTATATTTGGTGAAAATAACCAACTAACTAAACAAGTTACTATTTGAAAGTAGTAACTAGTTACATGCAGCTTTGCTCATCAGTTTCTGTCTTTCACTTTTGTCATTTTGTTTCTGGCTCAGTAGTTTTTTTGAACTTCCTGTTTTATTTTGTTGCACTAATTTCTGTTCTTATTTCAGACTCCTTCACTTCCTGGGATTCTCCTTTAATCAGCCGTCCTGACAATGCTCACCTGTGTCTTGTTGCCAGTTGCCTCACCTATTTCAGCCTCTCTCTCTGCAGACTTCCTCCCTTTGTCAGTTGTGTCAAGCGTTCTACCCTTTGTTCTACCTTGCCTAGCAGCTAAACTAGTTGCTCTACTTGTTTTTTGTCATTTTTATCAGTTTCTCTAAATTATTGTGCAGAAGTGCATTAAAACTTACTGAGTTGAGTCCTCTTTGGTTGCCTCTGACATCCAGTAACTAGAACTACACAGTTCTTTATGAGCATTAGTCTCCATTGCTAACAGTCATTAAAACTGATTTTCTGAAACGTAAAATGATTGGAGCTAGGACTAGGACTCCATGCGGCACATAGAGGACAGAGGTTCTTTACTTCTGGATCTTAGGCTACGTTCACACTGCAGGCCTTGATGCTCAATTCCGATTTTTTTTTTGTGAAGTCCGATTTTTTTCTTTGCGTTGCTGTTCATATTTCCAAATATATGCGATTTGTATGTGATCTCCTATTTGAACTGCAGTCATACAACGCAAGTGTCCCGCATGCGCAGTAGAGGACATGATGACGTCACAGGCCAGCGTGCTCTGTGTTTACGGAAGTAAACATGGATGGTAGTGCCGGCGCGCATCTAGCGATCTTTTCCAACCATAAAAACACAATCTTTTCGCATGGTTAAACATAAATACTGTTCTCCGCATCATCATCCCCCATGGTTGTTTTTCTTGCTGCTTCTGGGTAGCAAGACGCAGAATAGTGACCTTTGCAAGTGACCTAGCGGAAAATCACACGAGAATGTGTACAAAACAACAAAAATGGCACCGGCAACACTTGTGGGTCGTTTTTGTCAGGATCCAGAGGCTTGCCCACCAGAGGGCGCCGTGGATTCATTCCTGGGGAGCTTGGGCTCAGCGTTGACAGCTGTTCCCTATCTGCTCATTAAGCTCTCCCTACTTAAGCTGGAGGGGAGCTCCACTCTGAGCCGGATTGTTTTGGTGCCACCCTGCCTGTCTGACCCTCTGTTTTGCCTGTAAACCTGAACCGGAGCCTGAACCTAACCTGCTTGTCCTCTCTGCCTTCCAGGTAGAATCTTGTTTCTTTTTAACCAATAAATCTTTGGACCTTCCCCTCTGCCTCTGTGTGTGTGTTCTGCATCTGGG